TCAGTCCGCGAATGTTGGAGAAATGAAGCGTGAAAAAAGCCGATCCTCCAGCAACCGTAGTGGCGTCAGTTGAGGCCCCAGTAGCTTGATGATGATCAGGCCGGCCCTGGGGTCCACAACCTTCCCGACCAGTGGGACCCATCCGAGAAGGCCCCGCTTCAGTATTAATATCAACTGACATAGGAGAATAAAATAGAATGAATAAAACAGATCAAGAATGAGTAAGGTTTTAGTTGTGGTGTTGTCAATAGTAAGAGAGACAGTTGAGACCCTGCAATTGTGTGTAAATGAGGCAGAAAGATAGATCAGCAACCTGGGACTTGGTCACAATTTTCGTGATGCCATATAGCAGCAGGGTCTACCATTAGACAACACATTATGCTTCCAATATCTTCCCAGGTGGTAGTACCTCCCTGTTTGGTAGCTGCCTACTACCTACAAGTGGGACAACCTGAAGCTGAGAGTAATCTCCCACGCCGAAATTGCCCACGTGGACCAAGCAGAGCTGAGTGAGCTCCTCAAGGGGCAACTCCAAGTTGTGAAGAAGCTGTCCGACACCACTGCCCTCGTCGGACACCATTCAACCTTACCCAAGGAGGCTCAACTGGCGTGGGTAACTGTGCCAGTCAAGCCCTACTGCAGACCGAAACGCTGTTACAAATGCCAGCACTACGGACTCACTGTCAACAAGTGTGAGGCGCAGGAGGACACCTGCTCCCTGTGTGGCAGCCCCGGACACCGTTACACTGTCTGCCCCAACACAGTAAAAAAAATGCGCTGCCTGTGGCGGCCCACATTCCTCTGCCGATCGGACCTGCCCGAAATGGAAGGAGGAATGCAGGATAGCCAAGGCTCGACTCGACAAGAAACTGAGCTGCAAAGAGGCCCTCCTTGCTATGCGCTCCCAAGACAAGAAAAAACCAGTAGAAAAGAAAAACCAAGAAAAGAAAACCCAAGAAATGAAAACTCAAGAAAAGACACCCGCCACACAGAATCAAGAACACCACGAGGCCAGTGGAGCTGAAGCCCACGTGGTCAACCTCACTGTCTCCGACTTCTTCCACACCTATGAGGACATAAGACACGAGGAAGACGAACAACAAGACCCAAACACGAATGAATGGACACTTCAAGAGAGCAAGAAGAGGAGGAGAGTTAGAAGAAAATCAACTTCAAGCTAAGAAGAATACCAAGACATTTCCTCCAAACAAGAAAACAACACACACAATCAAGCCGACCAAGCACTGAGAAACCATGGCCCAACCCAACACGCACCTCACGCTTGACCTGATGCTAACCTGACTCTGTCCTGCCACCTCCTCGCAGCGTCCAGGCGAGTTGCTGCTGTCTCCAACTTAAACTCCCTCACGCATGTGTTGATTAGCTACTGCACCTATTCTCTCCTCCTAAAATTCACTTCAATCCTCCCTTTATCCTTCCCCCCTGTCACTAGCATTTTATGTATGTATGTACCTGCCCCTTCTAGCTACAGCCGCAGCAAGCAACACCTCCTCTGAGCACCCTCACCAACCAGCCTCCCTACTCACGCTTGTAACCACGCTGCCTCCTCGCAGCACCAGCCACCAAGCTGCATTGTACATCCAACATAATATGTATACAAAGAGCACATTGTGAATTTTTTTTCTCCATCCCATCCCGAGTATGAACCAATAACCCGTACCCCACAATTGGTGACCCCGGAGATTCGCACTCACACAGGATGGAGGAGAAACATCTCATGTAAACCTACAAGGGTGCTCAGAGGAGGACCAGCTTGTGGGTCGCCATGCTCGCCGGCGAGAGCAAGGGCCGCCAGGCAGGAGGAGGAGGAGATGTTGCTTGCTGGTTGGTGTAGGTAGAAAGAGAGGTAGGTCACCACGAGGTCAGGTCTTATATAACGGAGGTAGGCGTGGCTTAATAGTTGACCTCCATCATGTAAGGCGGCGCTGGTTGACCTAGACCACGAGGCATACACTGGGGAATTCGCGGGGTCGGCTACTCAACGACAAGTGTTTGTAGGGGAGGAATCCACTACAGAGTTACTACTATGACAAGAGACGTTACCTGGACAAACTCTCTCTTGAATGTCATGAACACTAATACTGACATGTTCCTTGATAATAGAGATGAGTTTGAAACACTTCTGAAGGTACACCAACCCAATATTTTAGGAGTTATATAACTGTTGTACAAGAAGAGGAGAATCGACCCAGAGGAATGCGAGTTCAGCATTGCTGGATATGACTCATTTACAAACCTTTCTCAAGAAACTTGGAAGAATGGTGTGGTTATCTATGCTAGGCAAGATCTTAGAGCTAGCCAGGCGAGGGTACTTAGGAGAGGATGTATTTTGAAGAGTCCAAGTGGTGTAAAAATAAATTAAAGGGAGGGGACTTACTTATTGTCAGGTGTATCTGCAGATCCCCAAACTGTAGCCCACTAAATGTTCAATAAACATGGATAACAATAATCTAATAAATACTTAGAACACATAAAATCAAACTATTAACATAGGTAATGTACACTTACTAGTGTCATGGCCACTACTGAATAACCTTCCTCTTTCAGCAGTGCTCCAACTTCTAGACCCATTAATCAGACTCATGTTCTGAAATAACAGCTGTGGTTAACAGACCAGGATCATGTAGACAAATCTTGCTGCCTCTGGCTGACAGTCGAAGATGACATTCTATAAATACACTGTGAGAATACACCCAAGGAAACTATTCATTATACTGTGCAAATTGATTTAGGACTGAGAAATACTACTTTATAACAACTATTATATTTACAATAAAACAAAGAGCACAGACATTGACACTGCATGGCCTTGTGGCCCAACTGATTTAGTAATTTATCAATCTTAATCTCAAAACATGGCTCTTCCTCCACTCACAGAAGTATCACTTAGTATTCACCCTAAATACTAGCGAGTAAATTAATACCAAAATGCAGGATATACAGCACAATGGATGAGCCAAGATTACAATCACATTCAAGGACATTATCTAGGAGAGCTCTTCTTCCTATCTCTTACTAAAGAAATTAACATCTCAAGGTAGCTTATAAAGTTTTCAACATTTGTAAATTTAGATAACTTTTCAAAATACTCTTTTATTTCTCCATAATATACAACAATGAGGTAAATTACTAGACCTATAACAAGCAATACATTCATTGCTAGTTTTCATCACATCATTTTTTTTTTCAATCTTTGTCACATGATTGAAATTGTATACAAGTACCACAATGGCAGTCAGCACTACACATGGTCTACCTGCAGCATGATCTACACAACAATTTCTTCCATTAACATGAGTGTTACAGTACATTAAACCTCACTGGTATTGTACCTCTAATACTGTCACCTTCTCTGTTGACACAATTGGGAGGGTGCCAGGAAGATCATATACCTGCCTCTCGGTACAGTGTCCTGACAAGGAAGGTGGCAGAAGGGTTGTCATACTGGTCTGGCCGATAGCTTACTGGTCGCTGGTTTGTGTCAACACTGAAGAAGCAATGTATGACTGAGATACAGAGTTTCATACCAGCAGTATATACTGTATTTCCACTGGCTTGTCATAAAACACCCAATTGACTTTCAAATATCCAATAGTGAGATTTACCTTTCCTGTCTGTAGTAAATTGTATGATATGCCCACAGGGCCTGAAGACAATGAAGTACATAGGTATACAGTATACTAAATTGGTTTACAGTACAAACACTAATGGACTTCAATAAACTGTGCTGCCAGCTGGGAAGTGACTTGGTTATAGCAGCAATCACAATCATCACCATCGTCTTACAGCCATTTTCCACACTAGTCTGGGATAGCCTTGAATACCTTTTGGAGGCTTTCTATGAGGCGTGGTCTATACAGGCCATAAAATCTTATATGAATTAAACATATAAAAATGGGCTGCTTACTAGATATAAAATATTAGTTACAGAACAATACAGTCACTCCTCCACGTGGCAACACTCCACTTGTATTACTTATTGGTTGTTATCCTGTACAGTACTGTATAACGCTAAGTCAGGCACACCATCAAGCCTTTCGTAACATCTACAGTCTGCGCGGAATGTTAAGTCACGATAGGGCCGACGAACTAAGTTCTCGCAAAAATAATATCATATGTTGTGAAGCCTGTCCTGGCGAGATGTCAAAACGCTTGGTTTGTTGGCAAGTGCTGACATTTGGCAACTGAGAACATGTCACGGCTTGTAGTCAGTGCGCCTCTGGCAGCTGTGAGGGGGAGATTTTTTGTGCGGGTTCTCGCGCCATGTGGCCATGTTTTTTCTAGTTTAAGGTGCATTAACCCGACATAGTGGCCATCAGAGATGTCCAGGAGGGTTACTACAAGAGACGATATTGCAGCAGTGATTGCATTGTACAAAGCGAACCATATACTGAGAGAAATATCGGCTCAGACTGGTGTGGCATTACGAGTTGTTCAAAATCTTGTCAAACGTTTCCGTGACCTTGGAGAGGACGAGTTACCAGCTCCATAACCTAAGTCTGGTAGGCCTAAATTATTGTCTCCACGGACACTTAAGGTTATTTCTCGACAAGTTCGGTCCAATCCCTCACTCACAGCACGTGAAGTGAAAGAGAGAAACCCCCGTCTTTTGAGTCACGTCTCGTTACGTTGTGTTCAACAAGCCCTGCACGATGACCTGGAATTTAAGAGCTTTCGTGCCAGCCGTAAACCTCTGTTGACAAAGAGACAGAAGGAAAATAGAATGAAATTTTGCAAGAAATATGAAGTGTGGGATTTAGAGACATGGAGGAGTGTATTATGGTCGGATGAGGCTACGTTTTCTGTGACTGGGAGTAATGGAGGGAGGGTGTACCGCCCCCCCCCACTCAGACGCGCACCTCCCACAGTACACAGTGAAGACTGTTAAGCACCCTGCCTCGCTTATGGTTTGGGCTTCCTTTACGTATTATGGTGTTGGTGAACTAGTAATCCTCCCTAAGAACCAGATGATGAATCAGTACAACTATCTTGAACTGCTCAGTGATTTCTTACCTGAATCATTTGATAAAGCTAAGGCAAGCCTTTTCTTGCAGGACGGTGCCCCATGCCACACTGCTAAAAGTGTCATACAGTGGCTCAAAGACTATGAGGTACCTTTCCTTAATGACTGGCCTGGCAGTAGCCCAGATCTTAACCCAATAGAAAATTTGTGGTCCATTGTTAAGCGTCGTCTGCGTGAAGCTGACACATCATCAATCCCGAAGCTAGAGGCAGCCATCAAGGATACCTGGGCTAACTTGCCACCTGACCTCTTGCAAAACCTTGCTGACAGTGTTCCTCGAAGGCTAAAAGACTGTCTGAAGCGCAGAGGAAACACTACAAAGTATTAATTGAAGTGGTAAGTGCTACTTGACTTTATTTATATAACATAATCGTAAATATCAATATTTTTTCAGCACACGAACTAACATTCCACGCAGACTGTAGACGTCTTGGGCATCATCATAATCACAGCAAAACAAGTGTCAAGACATATTCCACAAAACAAGTGTCAGGATATACTCCACAAAACAAGTGTCAAGACGTATTCCGCAAAACAGGTATCAGGACATACTTCATAAAACAAGTGTCAGGACATACTCCACAAAACAAGTGTCAAGACATACTTCAGACAACAAAGCACTATACTCCCTTGTATGCCTTTAAGGATTGTGAGTCATATATGGAGTGAATTTTTTCAAACATGAATTTAAAGAAAAACAGAAGGTCATCATATTCACTGGCATACTTGGCCTTGAGAACATGAATGTGAATATCTACTAAAAAGTAATAAATGGCCTCAATAGTTGCCAGATATGTGTGGGGTTTCCCTCGCTGGTAGCGCCAGAATAACGTCTCTCTGTTTGTCAGCTCAACACACTGGAGACCTGAAGGATGATAATAAAATGTCATAGATTGAGTATGCATAATAATACTATTAATAATAATAATAATAATAATAATTAATTATCTATTGAACGAACATGGAAGCCCAAAGGTTGAAAATACATTACAGTGGTCCCTCGGTTAATGAATGCCTTGGTTAACGAATTACCTTCCATAAGAATATTCAATTCGGTTAACGAACAAAAATTCGGTTAACAAAATTCTTACGAAAATGTTTCGACATGCTTTGGCTTGCTCACCAGCTGGAAGATTAGTCCGCCAATATAGAAATCGGTTCTAGGGCTTACATTTGTTAAAATTGGAGCAAATATCAAGAAGGTTGTTCTATTCAATAATTTTCCAAGTTTTATATTAAATTTTTTTGTCATTTTAACACTTATTTAACATAATTGCAGTACAGGGAACTAGTTTTTGGAGTGCCCATCAGCCACTTTACTCACCCACCAAGGCCTCAGTTTGTGTGTCTGTTCAGTGGAGGAAACATCTTGCTTGTGGGTCTCTTGAACACAGAGTATTTTTATGTTTTTACAGTACAATTATTGGTCATTCTGTAATTTATTTAACATATTGACAATATATAGTGCAGTGCAGTGTTGATTTAAAGAAAATAATCTTGAATTACACCGAGTGAGCTTTACATTTTATGGGTGAAATGACGGCATGAAGCATGGGGTGATTTCTCTTCCACCCCACTTCTAATTCCCATCATCATCATCATCAACCAGGAGCCTTCTACATACACACCTCAAAGTAAGTGTACTTTACTGCATTTTTTTTTTACTTTGTATGTAATTTTCGGTAAGCTGGAACCAATTCCCCAAAATCCCATTGAAACAATGGTTTCGGTTAATGAACGACCTTCTGGAACAAACTATGTTCGTTAACCGAGGGACCACTGTATACAAGAAACAATGATAAAAGTTACATATGGGGACATTGGTGACTATATGTATTTATAAATCATTGTGTGTGTTTATAAAGGACCAGGTGTGTTTATAAAGCACCAGGTGTGTTTATAAAGCACCAGGTGTCTACAAAGCACCAGGTGTGTCTACAAAGCACCAGGTGTGTCTACAAAGCACCAGGTGTGTTTATAAAGCACCAGGAGTGTCTACAAAGCACCAGGTGTGTTTATAAAGCACCAGGTGTGTCTACAAAGCACCAGGTGTGTCTACAAAGCACCAGCACCAGGTGTGTTTATAAAGCACCAGGAGTGTCTACAAAGCACCAGGTGTGTTTATAAAGCACCAGGTGTCTAAAACACCAGTGGCCTCAACACCAGGTGTGTTATAAGCACCAAGTGTGTCTACAAAGCACCAAGTGTGTTTATAAAGCTGGAGTGTTTATAAGCACAGAGTGTCTATAAAGCACCGGAATTGTGTTTATAAAGCACCAGGTGTGTTGCAAGCACCAGGTGTGTCTACACCAAGTGTGTTTATAAAGCACCAGGTGTGTTTATAAACACAGAGTGTGTCTACAAAGCACCAGGTGTGTTTACTCGCTTCAGAGTGTGTTTATAAAGCACCAAGGTGTCTACTATAAAGCACCAGGTGTGTGTTTATAAGCACCAGAGTGTGTTTATAAGCACCAGGTGTGTCTACAGCACCAGTGTGTTTATAAAGCACCAGGTGTGTCTAAAAGCACAGGTGTCTACAAAAGCACCAGGTGTGTTTATAAAAGCACCAGTGTGTCTCCCTGCAGCACCAGGTGTGTTTATAAAGCACCAGGTGTGTCTACAAAGCACCAGGTGTGTCTACAAAGCACCAGGTGTGTTTATAAAGCACCAGGAGTGTCTACAAAGCACCAGGTGTGTTTATAAAGCACCAGGTGTGTTTATAAAGCACCAGGTGTGTTTTATAAAGCACCAGGAGTGTTTATAAAGCACCAGGTGTGTTTATAAAGCACCAGGTGTGTTTATAAAGCACCAGGTGTGTTTATAAAACACCAGGTGTGTCTACAAGCACCAAGTGTGTTTATAAAAGCACAAGGTGTGTTTATAAAAAGCACCAGATGTATCACCACAAAAGCTTTCCAGGCTGTGTTTATAAGCACCAGAGTGTGTCTACAAAAGCACCAAATTGTGTCTACAAAAGCAGTGTGTTTATACTTTCCAGGAGTGTCTACAAAAGCACCGTGTGTTTATACACTTCCAGAGTGTGTTTATAAACTTTCAAGTGTGTTTATAACACCAAGTGTTTACTCCAGCACAAGTGTTCTCACTTCAGTGTGTTTATAAAACACCAGTGTTTTATAAAGCACTAGGTGTATTTATAAAGCACCATGTGTGTTTATAAAGCACCAGGAGTGTTTATAAAGCACCAGGAGTGTTTATAAAGCACCAGGTGTGTTTATAAAGCACCAGGAGTGTTTATGAAGCACTCGGTGTATTTATAAAGCACCAGGTGTGTTTATGAAGCACTAGGTGTATTTATAAAGCACCAGGTGTGTTTATAAAACACCAGGTGTGTTTATAAAACACCAGGTGTGTTTATAAAACACCAGGTGTATTTATAAAACACCAGGTGTGTTTATAAAACACCAGGTGTGTTTATAAAACACCAGGAGTGTTTATAAAGCACCAGGTGTGTTTATAAAGCACCAGGTGTGTTTATAAAACACCAGGTGTGTTTATAAAACACCAGGAGTGTTTATAAAGCACCAGGTGTGTCTACAAAGCACCAGGTGTGTTTATAAAACACCAGGTGTATTTATAAAACACCAGGTGTGTTTATAAAACACCAGGTGTGTTTATAAAGCACCAGGTGTGTCTACAAAGCACCAGGTGTGTTTATAAAACACCAGGTGTATTTATAAAGCACCAGGTGTGTTTTATAAAACTCCAGAGTGTGTTATAAAACACCAGGAGTGTTTATAAAGCACCAGGTGTGTCTACAAAGCACCAGGTGTGTTTATAAAACACCAGGTGTATTTATAAAGCACCAGGTGTGTTTTATAAAGCACCAGGTGTGTTTATAAAACACCAGGTGTATTTATAAAGCACCAGGTGTGTTTATAAAACACCAGGTGTGTTTATAAAGCACCAGGTGTGTTTTATAAAGCACCAGGTGTGTTTATAAAACACCAGGTGTATTTATAAAGCACCAGGTGTGTTTATAAAACACCAGGAGTGTTTATAAAACACCAGGTGTGTTTATAAAACACCAGGAGTGTTTATAAAGCACCAGGAGTGTTTATAAAGCACCAGGAGTGTCTACAAAGCACCAGGTGTGTTTATAAAACACCAGGTGTGTTTATAAAACACCAGGAGTGTTTATAAAGCACCAGGAGTGTTTATAAAGCACCAGGTGTGTTTATAAAGCACCAGGAGTGTTTATAAAGCACCAGGTGTGTTTATAAAGCACCAGGAGTGTTTATGAAGCACTCGGTGTATTTATAAAGCACCAGGTGTGTTTATGAAGCACTAGGTGTATTTATAAAGCACCAGGTGTGTTTATAAAGCACCAGGTGTGTCTACAAAGCACCAGGTGTGTTTATAAAGCACCAGGTGTGTCTACAAAGCACCAGGTGTGTCTACAAAGCACCAGGTGTGTCTACAAAGCACCAGGTGTGTTTATAAAGCACCAGGTGTGTCTACAAAGCACCAGGTGTGTCTACAAAGCACCAGGTGTGTCTACAAAGCACCAGGTGTGTCTACAAAGCACAAGGTGTGTTTTTGAAGCACAAGGTGTGTTTATGCGGGACTTCTAGCACCAGTAGTATTTGTAAAATAACTGAGTCACTATGAACAGTGATGATCATAAAAAGATTCAGTGTAATATAAGTGAAGATAACTTATAACTCTAAGGAGACAGCCAAGAGGATCTCAGAACATATTTCACTATACAGTACTTTAAATAATTCAAGCATCTAAACTTAAAATTTTACAGTACATATTCAATATTTTTAAAATGTCAACATTCTGAAATCATCATCAACATCATCAGCACTGTTTTACAGTTGTTTTCCATGTTTGTATTAGTTAGCTGTGATTACAAGATGGCAGTGTCCCAGTTTCCATCAGGCAAAGTTGAAGCAAATTTTACAGGTGGCTGACCTTCCTACCACAACTCACGTTTACAGAGGGAAATGGACAATTGGGCATTATATGATATTATAATACAGTTGGTCCTCATATTACGCGGTCCCGCATTCCGCGTTTCACCGTTAACGCGGTGCCTTGCCAGAACCTAACATTCTTACATTCCGCGGTCGCGAACGCCATTACGCGGAGAGTGTCCGGCGCGACGCTATTTTTAGATTTTCCCCACGCGCCACCCGCCCGCCCGCCTGCCTGCCTCTCCCTCCTCCTCCCTCCGCTTGGGCAAGCGGCGCGGTAAGGTTGCGCAGTGTGTGTCTTTGTTGCGTTATCACTGACGTCATATGACGTATCAGACCTGTGATTGGCCATGCATCCCTACCCTCCTCTGCTGCTAGCTGTAATTGGCTTAAAGTATTATGACGTGTCCACCCGGGGGAGGGAGGGAGGGAGGAAAGACGACGCTTGACCTAGCCGCGGCAGTTTCATCCCTCAAGGCCACTCCGTGTAAACGCGCATCCATTGTTCCGTAAAATGGCTTCCGCTGGACCACCACCCCCAGAGAAAAACCTTTCCTTACCTGCAAAGCATAACAGATTTCTTCACCCGCAACCCACCACAGCCAGCCCAAGCCAGTGATAGTGAAGTTGACTTTGAGGGATTTGTCAGGGAAGCCCTGACAACTGTAAGTGACAGTGATGATGATTCACCTAGTAATGGTGATTCACCTGAGGGCCAGTAATCTGCCCTCTGCCTCGGAACCAGCCTCCATCCCCGTATGCCGACCCATCTCTTCTACTACCGTAAGTGTTACACAAAATTTTTAGTTTTCTAACCTAACCTTTATTTTTCCTATGTTAACCTTTATCTTTCCTAACCTAACCTCTTCTATATTACTTGTTTTTTCATACCATCATAAAGTTAAGATAAAATTTTTACTACAACATAGTTGTGTGTCGTCAAAAAGTGGAGTTTGGGGATCGGCCTGGACTCCATTTCAATTAATCCCATATGTTATGTTGTTCACTTTACGCGTTCCTCACTTTCCGCGGGACCCTCCGGGTTACATTAACCGCGTAATATGAGGACCAACTGTACATTTTATTTCACAATAAGACTGACATTACAAACAGTGTCACTGCTGCTGCTATAAAGGCAGAAACAACATGTAGAATCAAGTGACTTATCACCAACATTTTGCTACTTTACCTTTTATTCTCTCATCATTATAGATCTTCCTGGTTTGGTTCCACGTACAGTCTATAAATACTGCTCTAGTAAATGGGATTTGTGGCTTGATGCGCTTTGTCTCTGGTTCTTCGAGGCTTTTTCTTGTCTTCTTGTCCAGGTGTGACCACAAATCATTAATATTTATGGCATCTTTGTCTGGAAATACGAGCAGTACCTGTTAGGAAAATATCACATTACCAACAAAGTACTGTACCGGGTACTGTGTGTGGAAAAAACATATTTAAATGTATGAAAGAAGCGGCAGATGAAGATAAAATGAAAGGCTGCAGAATAAAATGAAGAAGTTTATGTTGAAAAGAGATTCTAACATGGATATACTGTACAGTACTGTACAGCAGTTAACTTAACCCTTTAACTTTCATTTTCAACAGGTCTGTGTTTTGACAGTACTGTACTGTACCCTACTGTACTGTACTGTACTGTACCCTACTGTACTGTACCCTACTGTACTGTACTGTACTGTACCCTACTGTACTGTACTGAACTGTACCCTACAATACTGTACTGAACTGTACCCTACTGTACTGTACTGTACTGTACTGTACCCTACTGTACTGAACTGTATCCTACTGTACTGTACTGGACTGTACCCTACTGTACTGTACTGTACTGAACTGTACCCTACTGTACTGTACTGAACTGTACCCTACTGTACTGTACTGAACTGTACCCTACTGTACTGTACTGTACTGAACTGTACCCTACTGTACTGTACTGAATGGTACCCTACTGTACTGAACTGTACCCTACTATACTGTACTGTACTGAACTGTACCCTACTATACTGTGCTACTGAACTGCACCCTACTGTACTTACTGAACTGTAACTACTGAACTGAAACTGAACTGTGCCCTACTGCTACTGTACTGAACTGTACCCTACTGTACTATACTGAACTGTACCCCTGTACTGTACTGAACTGTACCCTACTGTGCTGAACTGTACCCTAATGTACTGTGTGAACTGTACCCTACTGTACTGTGTACCTGTACTGTACTGAACTGTACTGTAAAGAACTGTACCCTACTGTACTGAACTGTACTGTACCCTACTGTACTGTACCCTACTGTACTGAACTGTACCCTACTGTACTGTACTGAACTGTACCCTACTGTACTGAACTGTACCCTACTGTACTGTACTGAACTGTACCCTACTGTACTGTACCCTACTGTACTGTAACAAACTGTACCCTACTGTACTGCACTGAACTGTACCCTACTGTGTTCTTTGTTGATTGTGCCCTGGTACAGTAAAGTACAGCATTGCACCACACAAATTATATACAAAGACAGCAGCTAGTGAGGGAACAACCTTCTAAAATAGAAGCAGAATACAGTGATCCCTGGGTTAACGAAATTTCGGTTAATGAATTATCTTCCATAAGAATCTTCAATTCGGTTAACGAAAAAAATTCGGTTAACGAATTCCTCTCAACATGTTTTCGCTTGCTCACCAGCTGGAATATTAGTCCGCCAATACAGTAATCGGTTCTAGGGCTTAAATTCGTTCCCATTTGAGTAAATATCAAGAAGGTTGTACTATTCAATAATTTTCCAAGTTTTATATTAAATTTTTTAGTCATTTTAACACTTATTTAACTTAATTGAAGTACAGGGAACAAGTTTTTAGCATGCCAAACAGCCACTTGACTCACCCAGCATGGCATCAGTTTGTGTCTCTGCTCAGTGGAGGTAACATCTTGCTTGAGACTCTCTTGAACATAAACTATTTTTACATTTTTACAGTACAATTATTAGTCATTCTGAAATTTATTTTACATATTGACAATATATATTGCAGTGCAGTGTTGATTTAAAGAAAATAATCTTGAATTACACCTAGTGAACTTAAAATTTTATGGGTGAAATGACGGCATGAAGCATGGGGTGGCTTCTCTTCCACCCCAACTTCCTTCTCTTCTCCCTTCTCCTCCATCCTCACTTCTAATTCCCATCATCATCATCAACCAGGAACCTTCTACATACACACCTCAAAGTAAGTGCACTTTACTGCATTTATTTTTACTTTGTACTATATAATTTTTTCTGTGAGCTGGAACCAATTACCCAAAATCCCATTGAAACAATGGTTTCGGTTAATGAAATTTTCGGTGAACGAACGACCTTCTGGAACGAATTTTGTTCGTTAACCGAGGGACCACTGTACTGTATGAGATAAGAGAGTAAGTTACGAAGCAGCTAGCCCTCCCATGCACTTCACAAGTGAGGCTGCAGAGGACCATGATGCAATCTCTTGGAATGTCCTGAAATTTTTTCCTGGGGCTAAAATGAAGAGGTTTCAAGAGATTTTCTCAGATTTTTTCCAGAAAATGCGCCCGATTTTTATCCCCAGAAACGTGTTTGCAAACCCAGATTGAGAGAATTTTCCCAAAAAATTTTGGACCAATTTCCCTTTTGGTTATTAGAGAGTTCTGGGGACCAGGGATTCTGGTCAACAGGGAGATTACTGTATCCCGTTAAAGATAATACGTACGCTACATAAAAATTTGACATAAACGAGTGTAGGTAGCGAGGTGAGGCGCACTGATATGATACATATAAAGGTAGAACACAGAAATTTGCCACGCAATGCCCAGGCACAGACATTCAACCACACGTATCAACCCTGAAACCGCTTGTACTGATGCTGGATTTTTTAGACTTTTTTTAATATTTCTGGTGAATAAAGGAGCTGTCTGGAGCACCCCAGAGAGCTTGAAAAAAGCAATGTCCAGTGTATAGAGGTTCTACTGTATCTCAAATTTGATACATAGGAATTGGGTGCAGAGAGGTAATACTGTACTGTATTAAGTACAGTACAGTATTACCTCTCTGCACTCAACTTCTATATACTGTACAGTGTACTTACCTTCCCTTCTTTAGGTGATTGGCCTCCCCTGTATACTTACTACTAGTGTACAGAACAGTACAGTACTTAGGTCTCAACCTTTTAATACTTACATTTTCCTGACTTGAGTAATGTGGCAGGTCAGGGTAGGTGTAGATGTGCACATCATCTGGTGCTATCACTGCTGCATGTACTGCTGTGCTCTTCCCATCAATTTCTCTTGGGTGTTTGACAATATCAATCTTACAGGGGAGCTGGAAATGAAAAAATTTGCATTACTATTTAAAACAATGAACTTTTTAATTTATGAAACACAACACTTAACTACTTATGGTGAACCAAACAAATACAGTACATAAATTAACTACATAATGCATAAAAACACTATTGCCCCAGCAGTATTTGAACCCACACTGCTCACCTTGTGATAGGTGTTTTTATATCACACACAAATATATATAAAATAGTTCTGGAACTCTTAAGTGGCAGGGTTGACGTAAACTCTTCGTCTGGCCTTTCTTTATTGTTGAAGCGTCTATATACACAGTCCTGAGTTTTGGAGAGAATGTATTGTGAATTCTCCCCAGGTAAGTGTCTTGAGTGCATTTATATATGGGAACACTTGAGTGAGGTGTTCACTCATTAACCAGTGATAGCAGTCTAGCCTCTGTGACCGTGAGAAGAGAGGCCGGCAGGTGGGCTGTTGTGGTTGGTGGGCTTGACTTCGCCTGACTCTTGATGAAGTTATAGACTCAGCATGTATAGCATGAACAACTACTGAGTCATCGTTGAATAACTTAGTGAATAACTACTGAGTCATTGTAGACTAACTTAGTGAATAATTTGTTATTATACACTTGGGTGAATATTTATATTATGCAAATGGTGCTGTTGCAACCTGAGGTGCAGTATTACCACAACAATAAAGTATTTGAACCCACACTGATGAGAAACTTAGCTGGGGAAACCACATACAAGCCATTCACAGTATAAGTCAATGAACAGTGTGGTATCATGTATCACACTCGACAGTCACTCACTTTTACAGTAACGAAAGAAATCTATTATGATCATGTTTACCAACACCTGACACACTGTCACACACTATGGGGGGCCTCTGGCTCTTCTAAAACACAATCACTGGTTACTGCACAAAAGAGAGTTGTGCAGACAATGACCTACTTGAAAAAACTGATCACACAAACAAACAATTTGCTAAATTGAAAACGTTAAAATTCGAAGATGTTAACACCTACTGCTGTGTCCTATTTGTTTACAAATCTGTCAATTACTTGCTTGACAATACTGTAATTATTTCCAGTTCCGGAATAATCAGAGATACAACTAAAGGCACCCAGAGCGAATAAGACCACCCCCATACTCTCCTCTCAGTCCCAGACCTCCATAAAATATCACGATGTGAAGGTGTGGAACAACTTACCCCCACCCATCTGAGCAAAGACTACGCCCCTTCCTTTAAATCATCTTTCAAATAATATCTATTGTCTAATTATTAATATTTTTTTGTAATACATATTTTATATACAGGTGCTCCCCGACTTACGACGGGGTTAGGGACCCAAATCCAGGTCGTAAGTCCGACATAGATTTAAAAAAATGTAAATAAATAAATAAATAAATAAAAAAAAAATCAATTTTTGTTTAAATAAAAAATCTACAATGAAATACAGTACAGTAAAAGTAATAAATAATGAGGAATGGATACAGTGTGACTGAGCACTTACCTTTAATGTAGTCAGCTGAATGCACACGGGGCTCCCATAATTTTCTAATTATACATGGAGACTACATTAACTGGAAACATTTCGGTATAGAAAATAAGCGCGTCATTTGAAAAAATAAAATAAAAAATTAGTCATGACTGCGGTGGTCGTATGTCCCGACGGTCGTAAGGTCAGAGCAGGTCATAAGTATTGAAGGACGTAAGTTGAGGCAGTCGTAAGTCGGGGGACTACCTGTACCTACTTTCATTGTAGCACCAAAACCGTTTATCAGAAATTATCATGTACAAAGATAGAAATTACCATTGTAATAAATATATTTGCCAACTAGACATGATACTGACAGCTCTGTTCTTTTGTTCCACCTTAATACAACCATGTTGTATTGCTTCCCTCCCTTATCATATTTATGTATATCAACTCCACAGTGAAATTAGTTCAGTGTAGTTGGCCGAGGAGATAGAGTATGCACATATACACACACACACACACACACACACACGCTGTACTATATATGGGTACAAAGTTAATTAATACAGTATAGAACAATTAACTGCTGTTCTGTTATAAGTATTATCTCAATGTGTCAACTTCTGAAACTGTTTTTTCTTAATATGCTTAAAAGACTGTGGTTGAGTGATACACTGTACAGTAATTCTAAGACATCAAACAAATAACTTAGTATTTACCTTTAGTTTGGGAATTTTGTCAGCAATACAAGGTAGAGGGATGTAACACGTGTAGCAGAAGTATTTTCTTGATTTCCCACACTTACAACAAGAACTTCTTCCATCTAAATCATTCAAAAAACTAGAATCACTAATTTTCATATCTGAAAATGGATTTTCCAAATTCTTAGTGGGCTTCATTAGCTTTATTTGGTCATTGCTATACTTTCGAAGATCAACAATTTCTTCTTTCTTCATTGCTTCTCTATGTGTAAGAGTTTCTTCAGCGTCTGTCTTCATGGTACTGTACCAAACGACCTCTCTTCCACACAACTCCAATATACTGTAGTGGTGTTCTCAGTGTGATGTAACACATAACTTATTTTAACACACAATTTCTGACCTGCAAAAATAAATTTGATAATTGAGACATACTACTAATAATATCGTAATATGGAAAAAGTCTATTGGTAAAAATACATAAAATGAACATGTGAAGACAAGATATCTTGCCTACAATAATGGGTCATTCCCAGTTCAGTACAAAATACAGGTAGTCCCCGACTTACGACCACATGGACTTACGTCCATTGGTACTTACAACCTGCTCTGACCATATGTCCGTCGGGACATACAACTGCGGCAGTCGTGACCAAAAATATTTTCAAATGACGCACGCATTTTCTATACCGAAATGTTTCCGTCCCGGGCGAGAGGGTGGCAAGTCTCGGGTCACCTCATGGGTACACTCACTCAGTGGAGCGCTTAGTTTGTGTTTGGCTATTGTATCCTATACTAATCGCGCTGTGAACTTTCGTTATAATCGTATTTAATTGACTTTATAATGACTGGAAAGCGTAAAAGTGAGAGTGCTGGTGGTGTTCCAAGGAAAAGGAGACAGGCAATTACTTTTGAGATGAAAATGAAGATAATAACACAGCATGAGAATGGAAAAACTGTAGCAACAATCTCACACGACCTTGGTTTCTCACACTCGACTATATCCACTATTCTGAAGGACAAGGAACGTATTCGTGAAGTAGTGAAAGGAACAACACCTATAAAGGGAACTATAATATCAAAGAGAAGACAAGGTCCTATTCACAATATGGAAAAATTATCGGTGATATGGATAGAAGACCAGATACAGAAGTGTGTACCCTTTAGCCTTCTAACCATACAGGCCAAAGCAAGAAGCCTGAAGGAGCAGGCAGGAGAAGAATGTGATCAAACCTTTACAGGAAGTCATGGGTGGTTTGATAGATTTAAAAAACGCTACAGTCTACACAATGTTAAGGTGAGTGGAGAGGCAGCTGGTGCCGATGTTGTTGCTGCCGAAGCTTTTAAGGAGGAGTTAGATGAAGTGATTGTGGAAGGGAATTATTTGCCTGAGCAAATATTCAATGTGGATGAGACTGGATTATTGTGGAAGCGCATGCCTGAGCGGACACACATCCACAAAGAGGCGAAAACAATGCCAGGATTCAAGGCATTCAAGGACAGAATTACACTTCTGTTGGGGGGGAATGTAGCTGGTTTCAAGCTAAAGCCCTTCATGATCTATCATTCAGAGAACCCCAGGGCTTTTAAACATGTCAGCAAGCACACACTGCATGTGTTTTATCGCAGTAATAAGAGAGCCTGGATGACCCTAGTACTGTTTGAGGATTGGTTCATGACTTGTTTCATTCCACGAGCCAAGGAGTATTGTCTGCAACAACAGATTCCATTCAAGATTTTACTGATTTTGGATAATGCTCCGGGACACCCACCACACCTGGACGACATGCACCCTGATGTTAAGGTAGTGTACATTCCACCTAACACTACCTCTATCATCCAACCCATGGATCAAGGTGCTATTGCTGCCTTTAAAGCGTATTATATACGCACGACCTTCGCTCGGGCTGTTGCTGCTACTGAAGGTGAGAAAACGCTCAGAGAGTTTTGCAAGGCGTACAACATTTTGTCATGTATAAAGAACATTAGTGCAGCATGGGATCAGGTTACAAAACATTGCATGAATGGAATATGGAAGAAAATCCTGAAAAGATATGTGAACAGTTTCAAAGGATTTAATGAAATTAAGTTATTTCGGATATTAGTAACAAGATAGTGGAGTTAGGTAAACAGCTGGAGTTAGAAATTGTTAATGAAGATGTTGGACCGTTGGTAGAAAGTGTAGCAGAATAGCTCAGTAACGAGGATCTTTTTGAACTAGATGCACAGAAAATTGCAGAGGAAGAAGAGAGACAAAATGTAGAAGAGGCACAAAAAAGTGTGGCAGAGGCAGCTACAAGCAATGTAAAGATGGCATGGAAGCACCCCCCAAACCAAAAAGTTTTCCCCCAGTGACATATGGCAAGAGGCATTCTGTATACATGTGTTAATTATGTGCAAGCAAAAATGTTTGATGGCATGGAAAAAACATCTGCTATTCATACCCATCCCCCCCCGTTTATCCAATCAATTTATTGTTACCCATTTCCACTATTCTAATGGTTGCCCCGTCATATATATATATATATATATATATATATATATATATATATATATATATATATATATATATATATATATATATATATATATATATATATATATATATATATATATATATATATATATTTGTACATATATAAATTTTTTGTAAAAAAAAAGCGAATGATCAAAACCACGATAAAAAACTATCTGAAAAACACGGGATTACTGTGCTGTACTCTGTTTTGGTGACTGTACAGTAATTTGATTTTTGCTATGTTTCTTGTGACTGTAAAGCGCTTTGCCTCTGTTGTTGTGAACATGATGTGAGCAGCACTGGCCGTAATTATGTCATCACCATTTGGTCTGTTTTTGTGACTGTGAAGTGAACAATGTAATTTTGAAAATGTCTGGGAAGGCTGAGGCACCCAGGGAACTGTGTTTCTGGAGGTGAAGTTTACTCCCCAGAGGCTGTGTGGGGGTCTGAGTGACGTCTCCACTCTACCTTCAAGAGTCCCCCTAGTCTTGAAGGGGACGAGTGATGATGACCAGGCTTATTCTTAATGATGTGATGAGTGTTGTTTAATTGTGTTGAAGGGATTTTTGTGTTAAAAGTGGGTGTCCGACTGGTTGGGAATATATCCCATTGAACCCCCATTATAATGATCCCTGTAGTATATTCAAATAACACACTTTGCCAAGATGATCGAGAATCTTTAGTTTGCCATTAAAGAGGAACGTTTTTCTATTATCTGTAGGACTGGATGTTACGATGGAATCTATTCACTTTAAATGCCTTCCCGTGATTCTATTTTGTTGGACGCTCGTACACTATGAGTAAACAAGTTTGATTCTGTGCTTATACTTTTTGGACTCTGCTTTTGGCAGTTAACTCTGTGTGCGATAAACCCAGACCATGGACGTATAATGGGATCATAATGCAGAGCTGTACAAGTCATGACATGTGACAACAATCATTGATGACAGGTATGTGATGTGGTTTGGGTCATACTTAATCCAAATTTACGTTATTTTGAACTGTAGTGAGCTTTTCCCCATTGTAAATATGGGGATGCCTGCACATATTCCTGTCTTAAACTATACACTAAGCCGGTGACCTTTAGAACACACTGTGCCAGTTTTTAACATTTCTACTGCCCTGAGTGTCAAGTATAATTTTCAATATTCAAATTATTGTCATGTGTATATTGATAAATAATACTTTCATAGATACTGTACTTGAATTTAGCGGGACATTCTAAAAATAAACGCGATATTCGCGATTTATTTGTTGTAATAATCACATATTTTTCTAAGTCCCAATTTGATGTTATGGTGACATGCAACATCACTCATTTGTTCGTTTGTGTGTTAGCACACCTGTTAGGTTAGGTTAGGTTAGTACATAGGCCTAGTTTAGTTTTAACCTTTTTTCCCATTTGAAACATATTTTTTCGCTAGTTTCCTTAGTGTTATAAATGATTCTGACATGCATTTATGTTGAAAATCACTCGTTTTCAGCTCCCCCACCACCCCAAAACTCACATTCTAAACGAGGCCCCCTACATTGTTGGGGTGGAAGGGGGTAAAGAAAGAAAAATTATTTGCTCTAAAGATAAATGCCAGAATCGCCTAAAGCAGCAAGAAAACAAGCGAAAAAAATATTTTTCATGTGAAAAAAGGTGATGGGTCACTACCAAATGTTTACCCTTTTATGTAAACATGTAAAACATGAAGTAAAAACTGTCTTACTTACAGTACAGTGACTGAGGTTGACTGTCTCACTTACAGTACAGTGATTAAGGTTGACTGTCTCACTTACAGTTCTAGAGTAATGGTGACAGCTTACTGTTTGTTTACAGTGTCGACTACTGCCGCTGCTGTTACACAACATAGACTCACACGAACCATTAATGTTAACATAATACCACGAACACGAATAATGTATTATATATTTTTTAGTTTGATTCACTCATGTTCAGAGGAGTAAAGTAGCGAAGTATATATACTTTGTTAATATACTGAAGCAACTTTTTCATTGGTCTACTTTAAAAAAAATGCTTTATGGAGCAGTTGGTAGGTGGCGCAGTCAGACAAATTTATTTACCTCAGACATTTTACAAAGTACAGTATGAAGCACAGCCAGGGCCGGATTCAGGAGTGGGCAAAGTGGGCAGCTGCCCAGGGGCCTCCACAATCTGGGGGCCTGTGGGGTTATGAGATATTGGTTCACACTCAGGATGGGTAAACATATTGTATTGGATGTACAGTACAATGCAGCTTGTTGCTGGGTAGGTAGCATTGTAATAACCGTTGAGTAGAGAGAACTGGGTGCTTGAGGGACGTCTAGGTCGCCGGCGGGAGTGGGAGCCACCAGGCTGGCGTGGAGGAGGTGTTGTTTGCTGGTGGCACTGGGTAGAAAAGAGAGAAGGCGGTCACAGCGGTGTCAGGCATTATAAGGCGGGGGTAGGCGTGGGTAGATTGTAGTGGAATTCTCCCCTACAAACGCTGTTTGTCGCTGCCTAGCCGACCCCACCAATTCCCCAGTGTATGCCTCGTGGTCTAGGTCAACCAGCGCCGCCATACACCACGGAGCGGGGGTCAACTGCTAAGCCACGCCTACTCCCGCTATTTAATACCTGACCTCGTGGTGATCTCTCTCTCTTACTACCCACACCAACCAGCCAGCAACACCTCCTCCGCCTGCCTGGCGGTCCTCGCTCCTCCGCCTGCCTGGCGGTCCTCGCTCCTCCGCCTGCCCGGCAGGCCTCGCTCCTCCGCCTGCCTGGCGGTCCTCTCTCCCGCCGGCGAGCATGGCGACCCACAAGCTGTCCTTCTCTGAGCGTCCTCACCAACCAGCTCTCTCTACATCACGCTTGTAACCATGCTGCCTTCCCAGCACCAAGCTGCATTGTACATCCAATACAACATGTATATAGAGAGCACATTGTGAGTTTCCTTTCTCCATTCCATCCTGAGTGTGAACCAAACAATCTCATACCCCCACAAATGGTGACTCCCGGAGATTCGCACTCACACAGGATGGAGAGAAACTGATCACGCTCCCAGTCTTCAAGCAACATGGAAGACTGGCTTATCCACCCAGAAGCAGCTCTCATCGGCTCTACAGCTACTGTCTCTACACCACAGGTCAGACACCCTAGAGCAGCTCTGCTACTCTAAGCAGACAGTCGCTCCTCTTCCGACCCAAGCACATCCGTCCTGCCTCAGACGCCGACCCCGGCCCAGCAGTAACCCCTGCCGCCCCTGATGCGGCCTCTGTTCCTGAGTGCGGATCAACACACCCCTCTTTTCTCCCTCAGGTACTCCCTGCTAATGTCCTGCACCCTGCTGCTGTCGTGGACCCAGCTGCTGTCACGAGCCCTCATCCGCTTCTGCTGACGCAGCCCCTGCTCCTGACCCAGGCCCACACACCCCAGCAGGCGCATCTGACGACTCTGTACCTGCCGTGAGGGAAGCACAACATTCATCGCCTCCACACATCCTTATTCTCTCTCTCTACTCCCACAGATATTGTGTATCTAGACAGTTGTATCCAGCGACCGGCTCATCCACGCCATCGCCGTTGTCTCACATGAGGCATGCACCGCCCGGTCTGCCTCACATGTGCTATACAACTCTGCAGACAACAAGTCTCCTACACCGCCTGGAGGGAAGGGGGAGTATTGTAGAGGAATTCTCCCCTACAAACGCTGTTTGTCGCTGCCTAGCCGACCCCACCAATTCCCCAGTGTATGCCTTGTGGTCTAGGTCAACCAGCGCCGCCATACACCACGGAGCGGGGGTCAACTGCTAAGCCACGCCTACTCCCGCTATTTAAGACCTGACCTCATGGTGATCTCTCTCTCTTACTACCCACACCAACCAGCCAGCAACACCTCCTCCGCCTGCCTGGCGGTCCTCGCTCCTCCGCCTGCCTGGCGGTCCTCTCTCCCGCTGGCGAGCATGGCGACCCACAAGCTGTCCTTCTCTGAGCGTCCTCACCAACCAGCTCTCTCTACATCACGCTTGTAACCATGCTGCCTTCCCAGCACCAAGCTGCATTGTACATCCAATACAACATGTATATAGAGAGCACATTGTGAGTTTCCTTTCTCCATTCCATCCTGAGTGTGAACCAAACAACCTGAACCCCACAAGATAGTTGATCCCCGCTCCGTGGGCGGCGCTGGAGGCGTAGGCTGTGGAATTCGAGAAGGTACGGTGCTTGTAGGGGAGGAATCCACTACAATACTCCCCTTCCCCTCCAGGCGCGGCGGGAGGCTTGAGGTTGGCAGAGTTGCGTGCCACATGTGAGGCAGAACGGGCGGTGCATGCTACATGTGGAACATAACGGCGAGGGCGTGGATGAGCCGGCCGCTAGGGGGGAGGCAACTCTGTCTAGATACACGAGATCTGTGGGAGAAAAGAGGGAGAAGGAGGGTTGTGGAGGCGATGAATGTTGTGCTTCACCCACGACGGGTACAGAGTCCTTAGATGCGCTTTCTGGGGTGTGTGGGCCTGGGTCAGGAGCAGGGGCTGCGTTAGGAAGTGTGTCCATGACAGCAGCAGGGTGCATGACAGCAGCAGGGTGCATGACAGCAGCAGGGTCCACGACAGTAGCAGGGGGTACCTGAGGGAGAAAAGAGGGGTGTGTGGGTCCGCGTCAGGAGGAGCGGCAGGGGGTACTGCTGGGCTGGCGTCTGAGGCAGGACGGGTGTGTTGGGATCGGTAGGACGTGGTGCTTGAGGCAGGAAGAGGAGCGGCTGTCTCCTTAGAGTAGCAGAGCTGCTCTAGGGTGTCTAACCTGCGGTGTAGAGACAGTAGATGTAGAGCCGACGAGAGCTGCCTCTGCGTGGGTAAGCCAGTCTTCCATGTTGCTTGAAGACTGGGAGAGTGATCAGTTTCTCCTCCATCCTGTGTGAGTGCGAATCTCTGGGGGTCACCATTTGTGGGGTTATGAAATATTGGTTCACACTCAGGATGGGATGGAGAAAGGAAACTCACAAAGTGCTCACTGTATACATATTGTATTGGATGTACAATGCAGCTTGTTGCTGGGTAGGTAGCATGGTAATAAGCGTTGAGTAAAGAGAGCTGGGTGGTGAGGGTGCCCAGAGTGAGGGCCTGCGGCTTGAGGGACGCCTAGGTCGCCGGTTGGAGCGGGAGCCGCCAGGCTGGCGCGGAGGAGGAGGTGTTGCTTGCTGGTGGCACTGGGTAGAAAAGAGAGGGAGCGGTCACAGCGGTGTCAGGCCCTATAAGGCAGGGGTAGGCGTGGGTAGATAGTTGACCCCCCTCTCCGTGGGCGGCGCTGGAGGTGTAGGCTGTGGAATTCGAGAAGGTTCGTTGCTTGTAGGGGAGGAATCCACTACAGACCTCCATATATTGCAATATTTTATTGGTTTGTTTATTCATTTGGATTATATTTATTTTCATTCTTTAAAATTCATGTTTATCTATTCCATCACGTAAAACTATGTTCAGCAAGAAGCGTGGTAGAAATTAGGCTAGCTACCCCATGAAATTCATGAATAATGCAAAGAATCATCTCTCTGTAATAACTAATATATTCTTTTCTGTGAAGTCTCTTGAAATTTTTTGACGTGCGGTAGTAGCTATATTAAGGCTGGTCGACTTGAAACCACATGAATGACTCCAGTCATGTCTCACTTTTGTGTGTGTGTGTTGGGTATTTGTACACTATCAATAAATATACAGTTAATTAAAATTTTCTCAATGTTCTAATGTCCTCAATATAACTGCATATGGCTTCAAAATTCTCCAAAGAAGTGTTCAAATTTCAAAATTTTCCCGGGGGGCTTACATTGTAGTGGATTCCTCCCCTACAAACGCTTATCGCTGAGTAGCCGACCCCACGAATTCCTCAGTGTATGCCTCGTGGTCTGGGTCAACCAGCGCCGCCTTACATGACGGAGGTCAACTATTAAGCCACGCCTATCTCCGCTATATAAGACCTGACCTCGTGGTGACCTATCTCTTTCTACCTACAGCCAGTATTGAAGTAACACCTCCTCCTCCTCCATTCCTGCCTGGAGGCCCTTGCTCCCGCCGGCGACCATGGCGACTCACAAGCTGGTCCTCCTCTGAGCACCCTCACCAACCAGCTCTCTCTACTCAACGCTTGTAACCACGCTGCTACTTCCCAGCACCAAGCTGCATTGTACATCCAATACAATATGTATACAGAGAGCACATTGTGAGTTTCCTTTCTCCATCCCATCCTGAGTGTGAACCAAATATCACGTACCCCACAAATGGTGACCCCCGGAGATTCGCACTCACACAGGATGGAGGAGAAACCGATCACTCTCCCAGTCTTCAAGCAACATGGAAGACTGGCTTATCCACACAGAGGCAGCTCTCATCGGCTCTACAGCTACTGTCTCTACACCGCAGGTTAGACACCCTAGAGCAGCACTGCTTCTCTAAGCAGACACCAGCTCCTCTTCCTACCCCAAGCACCACGTCCTACTGACCCCAGCTGGCGCATTTGAGGACTCTGTACCTGCCGAGAGGGAAGCACAGCATTCATCGCCCCCACACACCATTTTTTTTCCATCAGGCACTCCCTGCTGCTGTCGTGGACCCTGCTGCTGTTGTAGAACCTGCTCCTATCATAGAGCCTCCTCCTGACGTCGCCCCTGACCCAGTCATCCCAGCCAGTGACCATGAGGATGCTGCCCCTGCAGCTACAGAAGCACAACATTCATCGCCCCCACACAACCTTTTTCTCCCTCTCTTCTCCCACAGATTTCGTGTGTCTGGACAGTTGTCTCCCCTAGCGGCCGGCTCATCCACGCCCTCGCCGTTCTGCCTCGCATGTGCCATGCAACCCTGCAGACAACAAGTCTCCTACACCGCCTGGGGGGAAAGGGGAGTATTGTAGTGGTTTCCTCCCCTACAAACGCTTATCGCTAAGTAGCCAACCCCGCGAATTCCCCAGTGTATGCCTCGTGGTCTAGATCAACCAGCGCTGCCTTACATGACGGAGGTCAACTATTAAGCCACGCCTACCTCCGCTATATAAGACCTGACCTCGTGGTGACCTATCTCTTTCTACCTACAGCCAGTATTGAAGCAACACCTCCTCCTCCACTCCTGCCTAGCGGCCCTCGCTCCCGCCGGCGAGCATGGCGACCCACAAGCTGTCCTCTGAGCACCCTCACCAAATAGCTCTCTCTACATCACGCTTGTAACCATGCTGCCTTCCCAGCACCAAGCTGCATTGTACATCCAATACAACATGTATATAGAGAGCACATTGTGAGTTTCCTTTCTCCATCCCATCCTGAGTGCAAACAAATAACCTATACCACACAAGCTTAAGAGAAGGGGGCGACGTGACTACTCAGGTCAGGTCAAAAATAAGGGACCCACTAAATAACTATCCTACATCTACATCCAAGGTTTTCAAAGCATTTTTAACCTTGGCCCACTGACAAATAAATTTTCTGTAACATATTATCAGTTTTGAACTGACCATCACTAAGGTTTATTGATTTTAATTCCTTAATCAAACTAGCTTCAAACAGAAGTCTTTCTGTGACACAAGATGATTTGAATACTTCTAAACTTTTTTCCCAAACAATGGGGTGATTATTATTCCTAACATAAACGAACAGGGCACTGCTTTCAGATGCTGTTCTGATATTGTACTTATGTTGTCTGATTCTGAGCAGCAATGTTTTTCCTCTCTGTCCTACATAATTACCATTACATTTGCTACATGGAATACAATAAACACTTCCATTTACATTCAAACTTGGGCTATTTTTTATTAACATATTGGTAATGGTTGAGTCATACTTGAAAACAACATTAATATTTAGTAGTTTGAGGGACCGAACTAACTGGACAAATTCATTACAATATCCTTCAGTGCAAGAAGAGGTCATGATACTGATAGTATAATTGAATATCACTGCAGTATATTTGGTATTTACATTGTTAACACAAACATGTAAACAATACATGATGCAATATACTATTCAATTATACTATCAGTATCATGACCTCTTCTTGCACTGAAGGATATTGTACACTAAAAATTACTAAATACCTTCAATATCAGTAATTGTGTTTTCAATACATATTCTTGTCTTGACCAAACGAAAATGCTTAGATTTAGCATAAAGTTTCATATAAAGCTTAATGAAGATCTAAACTTCATTCTCTCTCAATTACTGATAAACAGTGACACCACTGTCAGTGACCAATGCCATGGTAACTTAAACTAGTAACTACACTTAACTACTTTACCTTTATGATGTAATTATAATCTAACCGGTCTTTATCCTTAGGAAAGCAATGGAATTTTAAATGTTTGTGGTTTTCTTGTCCTTCCTACAAACAACACAACCATGACAACTTAGGAGCCATTCCCTGTAACTATAGTTTTGTCACACTGAACGAATCTTGAATGTCCAACCAAATGACGTCAAATAACAAAATATAGTCTTTTTTGCAGACGACTCACGCGACGGTGGCGCTAACTATTGGTGACCGACCCAACTATGAAGTGCCTAGTTAGTGTTTTGATGCTATTTTTTGGCGGCACGCAGCTGTATGGGGAGTCGAGCTTAACTTACTCTACCTTCCTTGCACAAAAGCCGTTTACAGCACCCAACAGTCAGTGATGCCAAACCCGGGCTACTTTTAAACTGCTTGCCCAGGAATTAAATGGGGCTGCTATTGTTTATTTATTTATTTTTTTACAAGGTATAGCTCACCCAGGCACAGGTCACTGACCCACATCAGGGCCTGGGGGCGAAAACGAAATAATAATTACAATAATAATTACAATAATAATAATAATTAGTGCAAAGTATTTAAAATTTATAATAAATACAAAATTAAAAAATAAATAATAATAATTATAATAATGACACTAATAATAATAATAAAGAACCATAAAGATATAAAAAAATGAAAAAAAGATCAATGGTGAGAAACGATATATGTACAGTATGTTGTGTTGTCAAAGTAAGAGAAACAATCGAGACCCTGCAATTGTGTGTAAATGAGGCAGAAAGTCAGATCAGCAACCTGGGACTTGGTCACAATTTTCATGATGTCATATAGCAGCAGGGTCTACCACCAGACAACACATTATGCTTCCAATATCTTCCCAGGCGGTAATACCTCCCTGTTTGGTAGCTGCCTACTACCTGCGAAAGAGCCTACTATTGTGCTACTTTTCAACAAGAAAACTGCGGCACCACTAAATCACCTGTTTTTCATCATAAACTCGAATACGCTGAGTCAGCCAGCCACCGGTTGTTGACAACATCTTGCCAATAACAGAGTAATTCTCACACACAGAGTAATTGTCAGGAGTACTGGCTTATCCTACCTCAGGGGTGAGGTGAAAGAGGGGGTCCATGGGTCACTGAGTGATGGTGTCATGTTATTATAGGCAGTTAGTGCTGGGGAGAGAGAATATAGATCTCATAGGTTTTGTTCTTTTTAATAGGTGCAGGTATGTACAGTGTAGTTCTACCTATGAATGTCAACATATACTCTGATGCCCCTCTGGGCCGTCTTATTACTAAAATCTTCAATATTTTGTCCACTTGTAGGACCTCACAGCACACCTGTCCAGCACGTTCTCCCCCGAGTCACAAACCCAGCACGCCACCTCACCTCCGTCACAGTGCATGCTGGGTAATACCATTGCTCCTTATACCATAAATAAATTTCTAAATACATTATAACAAACCCTCTTACTGACCAAGTTATAATAATTGTACATATTTATCTCGGGTAAGTGTTGTTATACTGACATATGTCTCATCCTTACAACAATCTAAAACATTGACCAGAAACACAGGTATAACCTCTATTTACACCATTACCCCTTCAGAGGTCACCAGCACACTTGGGTATTTTTTCCTGGTTAAGACCAAATGATTTTATTCAGCTGAGAGAAACACTTGACCTCTAGAGGGTTTGAGCTTATCTTCAATAAGTCTATGGTACAATTATGTGCACTATACATTGTTTCACTTAACACTGTACTTATGATGCATTCATGATGCATTTACAGTGAGGTATACCTGTAGTGTGTTGTATACCTCTACCATGTATGTCAGGTATACCTGTAGTGTGTTGTATACCTCTACCATGTATGTCAGGTATACCTGTAGTGTGTTGTATACCTCTACCATGTATGTCAGGTATACCTGTAGTGTTGTATACCTCTACCATGTATGTCAGGTATACCTGTAGTGTGTTGTATACCTCTACCATGTATGTCTGGTATACCTGTAGTGTGTTGTATACCTCTACCATGTATGTCAGGTATACCTGTAGTGTGTTGTATACCTCTACCATGTATGTCAGGTATACCTGTAGTGTTGTATACCTCTACCATGTATGTCAGGTATACCTGTAGTGTGTTGTATACCTCTACCATGTATGTCAGGTATACCTGTAGTGTGTTGGTATACCTGTAGTGTGTTGTATACCTCTACCATGTATGTCAGGTATACCTGTAGTGTGTTGTATACCTCTACCATGTATGTCTGGTATACCTGTAGTGTGTTGTATACCTCTACCATGTATGTCAGGTATACCTGTAGTGTGTTGTACACCTCTCCCATGTATGTCAGGTATACCTGTAGTGTTGTATACCTCTACCATGTATGTCAGCTATACCTGTAGTGTGTTGTATACCTCTACCATGTATGTCAGGTATACCTGTAGTGTGTTGTACCCTTGCTCATGTATGTCAGGTATACCTGTAGTGTGTTGTACACCCCTCCCATGTATGTCAGGTATACCTGTAGTGTTGTATACCTCACCATGTATGTCAGCTATACCTGTAGTGTGTTGTATACTCCTACCATGTATGTCAGGTATACCTAGTGTTGTATACAGTACCTCTACCCTCACATTACTGATAGTTATATAAGGTGATACATTAATTACTTACCAATACAGTACATGTGTTACTATTGATTACACTGGCTACAAACCTTCAGTCCCTACCTGTGCATATAAACTTACTCTTTATCAAAACCACAAATATTCCACAAAACAGCTTCAGAATTCTTCCTTAACAAAATCTAGTTCTTCCTTAACAAAAATCTAGTTCTTCCTGGGCACTCCATCTCTTTTTAAAGAAGATTGATCAATTATCTCCGCTCTTGGTGAAGCTTCTAATTTACAAATGACTGAGAGTGTATCATAATTAGTTTCCTTTTTTCACTCCTTCAGAGACACACATCTCCACTGTTGGTTGGCAAGACAAGCTCATGTCCTGGCAACCTCTTTAATCTCATAATGATGAGAGTTGACCACTTGGTCAGTCTGGTGACATTCTGTGCATGTAATATAAAACTCTCATTCTCTTTTGAAAGTCTTTCATGCAACTTTACACATTGGAAAGGTTTTTTCTGGGTGATCTTTCTTGTGTCTTACTAGAAGATAACTTTTAGAAAAACCTTGATGACATTCTGAACACTGAAATGGTTTCTCTCCTGTATGAATTCTCATATGTCTCAATAAATGGTGTTTACGTCTAAATCTTTTAAGACATTCTGAACACTGAAATGGTTTCTCTCCTGTATGAATTCTCATATGACTCAATAAATCTTTTTTACTTCTAAATCCTTTAAGACATTCTGAACACTGAAATGGTTTCTCTCCTGTATGAATTACCATGTGTGTCAATAACCCCTGTTTACTACAAAATCCTTTAAGACATTCTGAACACTGAAATGGTTTCTCTCCTGTATGAATTCTCATATGACTCAATAAATCTTTTTTACTTCTAAATCCTTTAAGACATTCTGAACACTGAAATGGTTTCTCTCTAGTATGAATTCTCATATGTTCCACTAAAGTCTGTTTACGTCTAAATCCTTTAAGACATTCTGAACACAGAAATGGTTTCTCTCCTTTATGAATTACCATGTGTGTCAATAACCCCTGTTTACTACAAAATCCTTTAAGACATTCTGAACACACAAACAGAGTCTGGTGTGAGTCATCTTTCACATGTGTTACTTGATGTGATTTTACAGACAATTCTCTGGGAGACTCTGCCTGTTCCTCTGAGAGACCTTCCATTATAAAACTGTGTGTATTGTGTGTTCAAAGGTTTTAGTGACACTTAACTGGCAAACTGTTTCCTCCTACAAGAACTATTAATGTCTTGTTACTGTTAATTATATTTGACAATGAAAACTGAAACATACATCAATTAGTGAATGTGATTTGCTGACATGATGTTGAGATGGGAGGACAGTGAGGAGGTAAGTGTGATGGAATATCCAGTTTGTCAAGTGACTACACCATTATTAACAAGGTTCCTCTATACCTCTTTGAACTAAATGTAAAAATTGGTGTAAAGAATGAGTTACACATACAACTATACTTGTCATTAACAAACACTGTTTATGACTTACAACATCCACTATAAAAACACTCAACAGAGAAGTGTACAAAAATTATACTGTACACTATTGTTATATGTGCAGTTCCTCTGGTGTACAGCAAACAATAACACTCAGGCTGACATAGTACAGTGATGGCTGGTAAACAATAATACTCAGGCTGATATACTACTGTACTTGTGATGGCTGGTAAACAATAATACTCAGGCTGATATACTACTGTACTTGTGACGGCTGGTAAACAATAATACTCAGGCTGATATACTAGGGTACTTGTGACGGCTGGTAAACAATAATACTCAGGCTGATATACTAGTGTACTTGTGACAGCTGGTAAACTTTTACTACATGTGACAAAAGTTTCATGAGGGGAGAAATCTTTACAACATATTTCCACATCAAAGAATAATTTCTTGTCAACTTAGAATTGTTTCGTTCAGTTGGTAATACTTTGTCTATGTCCACTGTTGTTTACACCTGCACCAAACATAATGTTCTGCCTTTCCTAAATTCGTGACCAACAAAGTCATTGTTGAATACAATCTAGGATTGTCAAACAGAACCCTAACAACTGTAACCAGGCAAGAACTTTATGATGAATTTGAAGCAAGCAGACAAGTGGAAACAGTGAAGTTCTAATACACTGAACTTAACAAATAATGTTTTGGAAAAATTTTTAACGCTCAACACCACAATAACCTGATCACTGGGGTCTGATAAACACCTCTGTGACCTCTACTCTGCAATATTTTTTGCACTACCATTTAAAGGATGACTATGGGGTGCACAATAAACTAGCAGCTTTCCATGGCAATCAGTGTTGTCACAATTTACTGCTTGTCTTCCCACTGCCATTTGTTTTTTCACTCCATATCTGTGGAAGTAAAGTAGAACATATTAGTGAAATAATATAAGAGAGTTCCTTTAAATAACTGAAGATACACCTCACCCACACACAAAACACCAGTACAGGTTTGTGTTCCTCAAATACCTAATGTTAGTAAAAATTATCACTAAACGAGGGATAACAGCAAAGGGCGAACAACAGGTTCACCCAGCAGGGCAGTACACACTGTGCTCCCTAATAAACCAATTAGTTATAAATGGTTTCAAAATTAAACGATTGGTTTATTATATACAGTAAACGATGTGGTTCAGAGTTAAATGATTTAATGAGCACAAGGTGAGTCAAATTCAATCAAATTGCATACATCATAAATGAACAAAAATGGTTTAGATAAACAATAAAAATGATACTTAACATATCCAGGGTGTCTACTGGCCAGAGAAAAAAAATCCTTGATTATCCAGGTTTTCCAGATGTAAATTAAAAAAATTCCAAGTACAGCGGTCCCTCGATTAACGGACACAATTGGTTCCACAGAGTCGTTCGTTAACCGAAAGTTTCGTTAACTGAATCTATTATTTCAATGGGATATTGGGTAATTGGTTCCAACTCTCAGAAAAAGAACATACAAAGTACTGTATACAGGTAATAGAATTAACAAAACATTAAATATAAACTAAATACAGCACTACTACTCCTAGACTTACGACAAACTATACCTACGACCACCCAGATATAGGACCGCCTTAGTCGTACCAAAATTTTGTCAAATTACGTATTTTCGAGTCCCAACGTTAGTGATTGCGCTGTGTACTGACAAAATTTTTGTTTGTAATTCACTTTAAAATGGCTGTCAAGCTTAAAAGTGAGAGTATTTGACATGAAGATACCCTCTTAAAATGTTATTTACTACCTTTGAGAGTTATACGATTCAGTGTGGCTACTTGTACACCTAGACTAATGATTAATGAATAAACCAGAGTATATGAAGGTGCATAATACTGTACACTACAATATTACTTATTGATGCTAAATACACTACAATAATTTTTCATTAAGTGGTGATAAATACACTACAATAGTAATTATTAAGTGGTGATAAATACACTACAGTAGTATTCATTAAGTGGTGATAAATACACTACAATAATTTTTCATTAAGTGGTGATAAATACACTACAATAATTTTTCATTAAGTGGTGATAAATACACTACAATAATTTTTCATTAAGTGGTGATAAATACACTACAGTAGTATTCATTAAGTGGTGATAAATACACTACAATAATTTTTATTAAGTGGTGATAAATACACTACAATAATTTTTCATTAAGTGGTGATAAATACACTACAATAGTTTTTCATTAAGTGGTGATAAATACACTACAATAATTTTTCATTAAGTGGTGATAAATACACTACAATAATTTTTATTAAGTGGTGATAAATACACTACAATAATTTTTCACTTAAGTGGTGATAAATACACTACAATAATTTTTCATTAAGTGGTGATAAATACACTACAATAATATTTCATTAAGTGGTGATAAATACACTACAATAATTTTTATTAAGTGGTGATAAATACACTACAATAATTTTTCATTAAGTGGTGATAAATACACTACAATAATTTTTCATTAAGTGGTGATAAATACACTACAGTAGTATTCATTAAGTGGTGATAAATACACTACAATAATTTTTCATTAAGTGGTGATAAATACACTACAATAATTTTTCATTAAGTGGTGATAAATACACTACAATAATTTTTCATTAAGTGGTGATAAATACACTACAGTAGTATTCATTAAGTGGTGATAAATACACTACAATAATTTTTCATTAAGTGGTGATAAATACACTACAATAATTTTTCACTACAATAATTTTTCATTAAGTGGTGATAAATACACTACAATAGTTTTTCATTAAGTGGTGATAAATACACTACAATAATTTTTCATTAAGTGGTGATAAATACACTACAATAATTTTTATTAAGTGGTGATAAATACACTACAATAATTTTTCATTAAGTGGTGATAAATACACTACAATAATTTTTCATTAAGTGGTGATAAATACACTACAATAATTTTTCATTAAGTGGTGATAAATACACTACAATAATTTTTCATTAAGTGGTGATAAATACACAACTGTACTGTATTAATTAACTAAGTGTAGAAGACAACCATTGTGGTAAGCCAATCAGCTGTTTGCTCTTTGTAAACAATGACTCCTGGTTTTCTGTGAGGGATTTTTTTCAGGAAAGTTGATTCTTTTAGGATAATGTTTTATCAACCAGCCACCAAATGATCCTAAATTATCTGATAATTGTGGTGGAATTGTATAAAGAAGTGTTAAAGGAATCTTGTGGGAGATAGGGGGAGGGAGCCACACACCTGCCCTCCCCTCTGCCAGCTGCTCCCCTATAAACATTCGTCTTCACATACAATGCAGCTCCTCCCCGACTTAGGGCGGGGTTAGGGACCCAAATCCAGGTCGCAACTAACTTTTAAGCTTGCCAGCCATTTTAGAGTGAATTACAAACGAAAATTTTGTCTGTGTACTGATGTTGGAGCTCGAAAATACGTAATTTGACAAAATTTTGGTACGACTGAGGTAGGTCGCAAGTGCGAGTGGTCGTGAGTCGAGTAGGTCGTTAGTCGGGGAGGAGCTGTATACAGTGGTCCTTCGGTTAACGAGCACAATCCGTTCCAGCAGGTTGCTCGTTAACCGAAACCATTGTTCCAATGGGTAATTGGTTCCAGCTCACCGAAAATTGCCTAAATTCAACAAAAAAGGTAGAAAAGAACACTTACTTTGAGGTGTGTATATAGAAGGCTCCTGGATGATGATGATGATGATGATGGGAATTAAAATGGGGGTGGAGGAGAAGGGAGAAGAGAAGGCATTGGGGTGGAAGAGAAGTCACCCCATGGCGCCATTTCACCCATAAAATTTTAGCTCTCTTGGTGTAATTCAAGATTATTTTCTTTAAATCAACACTGCACTGCATTATATATTGTCAATATGTAAAATAAATTTCAAAATGACCAATAATTTGCTCGCAAACACAGAAAAAAAGCGTTTAGTTGAAGTCTCAAGCAGGATGTTACCTCCACTGAAGAGACAGAGAGACTGGCGCCTGTTTGGTCTGTTGCCAGGCTGGGTGGCGCACATTAAACTAGTTTCCTTACCTTCAATTATGTTCAATAATTGTTAAAATGACTAAAAAATTTAATATTAAACTTTTAAAATTATTGAATAGTATAAACTTCTTGATATTTTCTAAAATAATAAGGAATTTAAGCCCTAAAACCGATTACTGTATTGGACCGCCAAATGCAAGCGAAAACATGTTGAGGTCGGCTCGTAAAAAACTCATAAATCTAGGGATTGCTCGTTAACAGAAGTGAAGAATCTTAAGGAAGGTAAATCGTTAACCGAAATCTCATTAACCGAGGGATCACTGTACAGTACAGTATTCCTATACTTATTTCTTCTTATTTTTATCTTTATAGTTCTGTACAGTAAACAGTTTTCTCTTTATTCATAAGACAAATTCTGTGGTTACTTGCATATAACACTTTACAGTAAATAACAATCATCTCGGTGACAACCAGACTTATATGTCTGATTTTCAACCCCAAGAGTTTTCATATTTTTGTTCTTATTGGTGTAATATTCTTTTAATAACCTTGTTATACACTTAAAGACCTTAGTTGTTAAGTGCAGTAATAACATAACTGATTTTCTGTATATATTGTTTTAAGAAAACTATGGCTACAGGAGGAAAATACATACCAAAGTTTTTACCTAAATATTCCCTGCTGAAATGGTGGGCGAGTCTTATATAGCCGTGAGTCGTATATAGCTGTGAGTCTTATATAGCCGTGAGCCTTATATAGCCGCGAGTCTTATATAACCATGTCTTATATAGCCGTGCATGTTATATAGCCGTGAGTCTTATATAGCCGTGCGTCTTATATAGCTGTGCATCTTATATAACCGTGTCTTATATAGCAGTGCATGTTATATAGCCCTGCATCGTATATAGCCGTGAGTCTTATAGCCGTGTCTTATATAGCCGTGCATCTTATATAGCCGTGAGTCTTATATAGCCGTGCGTCTTATATAGCTGTGCGTCTTATATAACCGTGTCTTATATAGCAGTGCATGTTATATAGCCGTGAGTCTTATATAGCCGTGAGTCTTATATAGCCGTGAGCCTTATATAGCCGCGAGTCTTATATAGCCGCGAGTCTTATATGCCGTAAAATTTGGAAAGACGGAATAACAAAATAAGAGGTTTTTAATAATATGTATATGTACAGTAGGATCTAGCCATTGCTAATGTAGATAATTATATAGGACTAGCCCGTGAGCAAAATTGATAGAAGACAATTAAAAAAAAAAAAGATTTTCAGTGTTATATTATAGTGGACACTGTTGTAGTTTGTGGAATTATGTTAAAAACTGAATATTTTTAAAATAAACGCTACTTAACATTTGTGGGTATGAAGAACAGACCTAACCAACCAAACCAAACAAACCTATCTAACCTTACCTAACTTCCCCAGTATTAAATAGGCGGCTGCATTTATGAAAAAAAACCCACCTTACCCTAAAAAAATTCCTACAAAAGGTTTCTCAACTGTTTATTGTAGTGTCAGGTGTGATTAATAACATATCAAAAGTCTACCGCAGTCTGGCCATGAGAAAGGTCTAATTTTCAAGATGGCGTCAAATAGCCACCAAATCATAAAAATGCCTGTTACTCCTTCATTATTCATCCTAGAGAAGTAATTTTGATGTCTAGCCCCATGTTTCGGTGGCCTAGGAATCTGTTTGGCTTGTTAAAAAAGCGACATGTTTACATAATTGTGAAATCCAAGATACAATTTGCTTTGTGTGACTGTTTATTTACATTATTTATTTACTGACTTTATTTACTAATGACCTTCACTTTCGCATCTTTTCAGGCCTGACCATGAGTGCTAGCACTGTAAAC